TACGGCTTCGTGGTGCCTCACCCGGCATGGAAGTAGCCGCGTAGCCATGGCCGTACATAGATCTAACAATGCGGGCCAACAAAAAATAAGGTTCCAAAGCGCAGATTGTGCCAGGCCCTCTTCCTGCTCAGCGGGGCCATGGAGCTTGGTGTTTGGACCCAGGACCACCACCCTTGCCCGTGGGCTGGGCGCTGCGCGGGCTGGGCGGGGCTCCGTGGCGCTTGGAAGTTTGCAGGATCCCAGCAAGGAGGCCGGGGATTTCGGGGATCCGCTGGGCCCGGCACCCAGAGCGGCCGTGGCACAGTGGCCTGGTAACTCTCCGGGTTTCGGGGAGGCCTTGGCCAGTACAACGAGGACATGAGGGCCAAGGAGCAAGACTTAGTAAATTTGTGCTGGTAGTGCTTTAGTGCTATGTTTATGTGGGGGGGAGAAAGTCATCGCGTGACAGGAGATCAACAACGGACGTTTTGCCATGCAGAAGCCTCTGTTGTGCTTCAGCTTCGTGTCGCTTTTCAGATACCACGATAGATGCTGCATGTTTGGGTCCAAGCTCCACGAATCTAGCATGCCGTTGCCGAAGAAAGTCTCCGAGCAACCTTGGTGGCACATAGGTCTCCTGAGACCGCCACTTTCCTGCAGTATCCCGTATCCTGTAGTGCCCTGTTTGACCCATGAACAGAGCGGGCATGGCCCAGTGAGTTGAAGGGAGAATGCACCAGCATGCACAGCTCCAGTGCCATTGCCTCAGGGCCAGGCCTCCAAGTGGCAGTTGCCTTGCTCGGAGCATTTCTGCGAGGTCCTCGATGATGCTCTCCAGGACCTGCATGGCGTGGGAGTCAACATATATGGCACTTGAGAGCAGTTGCACACGAGCTCAAGCCAGAAGGAGGAGGTGGAACTGCTTAGAGCTATGTGGCCAGAGGAGGCTGCCTGAAGAGTTGCGTGAGTTTCTTGCGGCAGTCGGCTTGCAATCTGCCAGTCCGACCTGTCCATCCTTCATTTTCCGGACGGTGACCCCGCAGAGATTCACGCGCGAATATCTGTACACCTAGTTCCCCACACAGCTGGGGAGGATCATGCACGCTTCGTGCGAGTCCAGCTGGTGCTAGACGTTCCGCACGGCTACCCTCACAAGCCGGTGCAGCTGGCATTGGGCGCTTCACGAGGTGGGGCCCTCACATTGTACAGACCAGCACTACAGCTTGCAGCCCTTGGTCACCTGCCATGTCCAGGTCTCCCAGACTCAAGAAGTGAAGGCTTAGTCTCCCAGCTGAGAGCTGCGTCTGACGAGCTGCGCGGGCAACCTGCACTGTACGCGCTGCTTCAGGTGGCTTGTCGAATTTTGGAAGGTGCACATAGCTTTAGCTTTGAGGGAAGGCTGGTTTGACTCCCGTTCAGGCAGCGCAAGACATCTTGACGGAGTTGAATGTGCCGAGCGGTGACTGTGCTATCTGCCTCGTGGATTTCAACATGGACGAGGCCGACACAGCAGTGGGCAGTGCTGTTTGCGAGCAACCGGTTTGACTCTCAACCACAGGATGATCCTGCACAGAGAACTCCATGCTCGCATCTGAGTGCGAACTTTCAGCCATTTCCATACCGCAAGTTTCCGTACATCAACGAGACTGTTTAGGCTACCTTCGTGCTTATCTAGCTACTGGTGGACGGAGTGGGAAAAGCAGCTGGAGCCGGTTGGCTGCAGCCTAAAGTGCATCAGGTTTTCCTGTAGACTTTTCGCAGGCGCATCTGCGATTTCCATTTCAGGCCTTTGAGCCTGCGTGCGCGGGCCACCAGCTGCGTTTCAAAAGCAGAGGCCGAACCGAGCCAGATGGTGACCGATGGCGACTTTAAGCGACTCAAGTGCCAGACGGGACATGCCCTGCATCGTTCTGCAAAGATGTTCACGAATAGTTTCGGCGAAGGTGTTCTGCCCCGAGTGCCGTTCGCCTCTGCACTGGCCAGAGCTCAGCGCTTTGCACTCGACCCGTGGCTGAATCTGAAAGCATCTCTCGACGCACATCGGCAATAGAAGGCTCTGAAATCAGCAGGTCGCTGTTGTGCCGCGACGCCGAGCGGCTTCGCACGGCAGCGGCGGCGGCGGCTGCAGAAAAGCCCGAGGAGAAGACTGAGGACGAGGAGCTCGAGGCCCGTCAGTGGCACCGTTGCACCATCCCTCTCATGCACCGTGCTGCTGTGTGCCTTGCTGCAGCGCATCGATGGTATGCCGCAGCTGCCTTTGTAATTGAGGTTTCGTGGGATGTGCGGAGCCTTCGGCAGACTGTCTCGTGGTCGCTTCCGTGGCAATCGGAGTGTCGCAAAAAGAGGGACAGAACTGAGTTTCGGCGTCACGGAGTCGCAGTTTTACGATTGTAGCGGTCTTTCGGAGGTGCTGCTTCCACAGGAAGAGGCCCAGCCGATGATGCAGCTGCCTTCCTCCGAGCAGGTGCTCCTCTTCGAGGTGTGCTGGTACCGAGCAAGTGAGCAAACTTCAGATTTTCAGAGTACACCTCGACCTGGCAGGTGGTGCACCCTAAAGGCACCTGTTTCCGTAGCCGACCGCGCTGGTCGGCAAAAGTCGCCAATGGCCAGGCAAAGAGCATACACGTGGAGAACATAATCTATTTCTGTGCGGTGCAAGTTGGCCAAAGGTCTCCCGAGGAGTGCACGGGGTCGTGGCCGAGTTGGTGGAGGGTGGCTCTCGCTCGAAGAGTCTCCTGAGCTCCTCCTCCGCCAGAGTTGCCAGGTGACACAACTTACCTTCGGCCAGAAGGCTCACAGAGGGTGTTCTTGCCGTTCGACTCGTAGCTGAGGGGAGCATTTGTGTCGGCTTGGTGATGGTCAGGTTCGAAGCACCTTCTTCCCGTCAAAGGCCTTTCTGCAAACATCAAGTGGCTTTGCTGCAACGCGTCAGGGCCAACGACAGACTGTTTGTGCACTCGGGTGCTGAAAGCTTCCCCTCAGACCATGGTTGAGGTTGGTGCATCTGGAGCCACGGCGCAAGGCACTTGAGTGCACTTTGACAGTCATCGCAACTTTCTGCAGCTGCTATCACCACGCTGCAGGAAGCCACTGATGCACCCTTATCGTGACACTCTCTCGAAGTCCGACATTTTCGGAGTTTCATAGAGGCAGCAGCGGTGCCTCAGCTCCCAAGCATGAGTTTGCTTGGAGCCGCCACGCATTGCCAAGAGAGGCAGTGGCTCTGAAGTTTTCGAAGAGTCGCCTCCTGTGTTCTCGAAGAGACCTGCGAGTGCGAAGCAGAGGCCTACAGCAGCGGGGATTAAAAGGCAGAAGCGGAGTGCACGGCTGGTGATATGACGTCCTGATACCTCCTGGATCTCAATGTCAGAGTTCCTGATGAGGTTCGCTGCTCTTGGAATCATCTCAGCAGACTTGCTCACCGGAAAGGACAGCGAAAAAGTGAGGGAGATGGTCACCGCCATTCCAGCATTTGGCATGAACTGTACATGCGGGGTGCACTGGAATGCTGGTAGTCGTGGACTGTGCTGCAAGGATGCGATTCAGCAGCTTCGGACTTAAACCAAGGCTAAGGCAATTGATTGCAGAGTTTCAGTCCCTGCTTTGCAGTGCTTCCACCATACTGCCGTTGATAGAGCATCAAGACTTCGCCAAGGTTCGGCGCCTAGATCAAGCCGTGGCGACTCCAGCCTGGTGCAACTCCGCAGATGAGGCCCGGAGTCTGCCTCTCTGCCTTTATCAGCCAGGGGAATGCAGAGTGTGAGGCCACAAACTTTGGGAGGTTTTGACGACCAGCAAATTGCTTGCATGAAAGACAGGGGCGTGTCATGGCGTGTCCAGTGCATGACTTAGCGACCTGCTCAGTGCATGACAGTCTGACAGGCTTCCTGAGCCGAAGCTTCAGCCTTAATTTGTTTCTCAGAGATTCCTCAAGCTGCTCGTGTTGCCTGAACACTGTCTCGCAGCAATGCTGGGAATGTCCATGTGTCGCGGGAGCAGCTTCAGGAAGTAGATAAGTAGAATCAGTTTCCGTTCTTTCGCCTGACCAGTGGGCCATCGCTATTGGCGACTCACGCACCGACTGCGAAGTTGTGCTACGCACTTCAGCGCACAAAGCAGCGCCAGAATATTCTTTGCGAGTCGACCTGGTTGCCTTACGACAGTTGGTGTGATCGCATTGTATCGCATTCGAGTTGTTACCGCTTCGACTTTGTACCATGTTCCACTACCCGGAACCCCATGCCACTTGTTCGAGTAAAATGTACCTGCTATGCTCCTCGGGATTCCTGTTGGAATGTCGATAAGTCAAACTTGGCTTGTTCATGCCGAAACCGCCGCAAAGCACAGAAGAAACCCTGCCTCTGGCTGAGAGCAAGAAAGCCTGCTATACGTGTACGACGATACACTACAACGAGGACAACTGCACAGGGCCACGAACGTCTTCCCTCTGCACAACCCTGCACATAGGTCGTGAGTTATCAGCGCAAACAAGTCCTCAATATCAAAACCTGAGCGGTAGCCCTTGCCACCATACAGTATGCATCAGTATGCCGGACTTGCGTAATCCGCACACTAAATCACAGCAACTCCTTCTCTCTCCACATGCGTGAAAACATGCACAGTGTCGTTCCCACGAATCCTGAGCGATGAGTGCGTTTGTCAAGGGGTTGCCGGTTTCTGAGTGATTCAGGACAGAAGGACATAGTGACAAGGAGGCATACAGCCTAAGCTGAGTCGATGTGCAGTAACAGAGATGCATTTGTTCCAAGTTATATATAAGTCACAGCTTGCAGATATGTGTGAGGAGGACTTTCATGGCAGTGAAGTCGGCAATGTGCTGCACAACCCAAATGTCTTGGACGCGGCTGCAAGCGGGTCCAATGTGACCATTGCTTTCTGAAAGGATGAACATGGTGAGTATTTCGCAACAACTTCATCCTCACCGACATGCTGCTTCCGCAGATCAGATCACGAACGGATGCGCCGGTTAGGAATCAGGCGATGCAATTCGAGCTGCAGCCATGGACTTTTTCAAGCTTAGCAGCGAGGCTGCTGAAGCTTTGGGGCTGCATGCAAGCAGATGCAAGGGAGGAGGAACGAATAGTTGAATAGTTACCGCTAATTCGTTATGCGAGAGCATTCGCTGCAACGGGAGGCCTGCAGAGCTACGACCTCCGCGTGCTCTGACTGCAAGGTGCGTGGGAATGTCATGAATTGCCATATTTGGCTGTGTGATGGTTTATTCTACAGGACCCATAGCGGCTTACAGTCTTACTTTGAGTTCCTGGATGCCTGATGCTTTGGTAACTGTAGCAATTTAGCATTTACTCGTCCGATACTCCCAAGCCGGTTCCTAAGATTCCTAAGCCTGTGATTGGAATGTTACCTGGGCTGTGATTTAGCAGCCACTTGTTGTCCCGCTGCGAGCGTTTGCCACGAGACTTTGCCCCCTTGAATCGAACTGCGGTTGGAGGAGAACGATGAACTCCTGACCTCAGACCTGGCCTGAGCAGCTGTTCAGTCGGCAGAGCACATCACGTGGGTAGCACGTAGTAACGTAGCTTACAAGCAATCTGCTGCCGAGTCTAAGCGCTTTGCCCGGTCTGGCATGTTGTTGATCACGGATCTGTAGCATGTCGAAGCTGGCAGTCAATGCGAACAGTTCTCTGCTCCATTTGCCTTCGATGGCGGCGGCGTTGCCTGCGATTAGTCCATTTAGCTCTGGAGCTGGGGCGGAGGCCCTTTTCATCAGCCTGCCTCATGAAAGGCGATTGTTGAAAAGATGGAGATGGCCGGGGCCTTTGCATGCCCACGTGCGCACCCATACTTCGCAAGACCTGGTTGATAATCGCCGGGATGTCAGTCTGTTAAACCTGCATGAAATGTGTGAGCTTTGTACTGCGGAGTAGTGGATGCGAGAGAAACGGAGGCGCACCTTGCAGAGCATGACTTTGAGGCAGGATTCTGCGTTGCCGCAAAACTATTCAATACAAGTTTCTCACGACGTTTTCAGGTGGAGAGCCCATCTTCGACCAATCCAGGTCTCTCCTCAGTTGTAGTGCAGTAGCCGAGCTCGCTTCTATGTGTGGAGTAAAGCCGACTTTTACAGGCGCGCTCTTCCGCAGGTTGCAGGCACCTGCCATGCACTGTCTCTTAAGTGGAAAAGCAGGGATTGCCTCTTGGCGTGTGTGTCATGCTCCACTGGGCTGTCTTCCTGGACAGGTGCCGCCTGAGTTTGACGGGGCACAGACGAAGGTCTTTCAGGCACATGCAGTGCGTTTTTGATTACACCGAATCTACCTCTTCACGGTTCAGTGCAGCTCCTGCGAGTTGCGAGAGTTTTCGGCTGCTGTTCTTTGCAACATTTGCTAGAGAGATCTGTGTCGTCATGCTTTCATGACCACATTCAGACATGGCAATGCAGGCAGTGAGCGGCAACTACTCGCCGTCATCGGCACGAGCGCCCTGGGCTGCTATCAGATGACCTAAGCCATTGCACAGGCTAATCGATGCTCCAACCACACTATGACTCTTTGTTGTAGTTTGCTATCCTTGCTTCCGAAGTCAGTCTTGCAGATTACTCCCAGTGGTCGTAGCGCCGCGCAGCTGAGCGTAGTCCACGCATCTTTCTCAACCTGTTTCGGCGTAGAGTTTGTGGCTCGAGCCTCCCAGCTCGAGCCGCTAGTGAGCGCCCGCGCGGCGTTGATGGTTTCAAGATGCCGGGGCCCTGGCTGAGTGCAACAGGGGACCCCGAAGCGTGGCGTTCCCACACTCTCCAGTGCGGGGACTATGTGGAGTTCGTCACGTATGACACGGGCCGGGTGAAGCAAGGCACAGTCCTGGCCCGCATCGACTCACTGACCGAACGAGGACCCCAAGGGCAATGGACGGAAGCCACCTTCCTCGCAGTGAGCGATGAACACCTTTCATGGTGGTTGACGGATGGACCGGGGGTGGTCCCGATCGGGGACTTGGCCGACAAGAAGATTGAATGGGTCAGAAGAGGCCCTCACAAAAAGTATGTCGATGAAGAGGTCAAGCGTATGGCAGGAGCACTCCCTACGGGGAAGGATGCCGGAGATCAAGCAGCCCACGGGCTAGGCTTTAAGGAGGCAGCCGGGTTGCCGCCAGCCGACGCCACAGCCGAGGAGGATGCCCTGAAGGGGCTGGCTGAGCTTGAAGCTGAGCTCGGCACGCCGAAGGGTCAACGAAAGAGAAAGGACAAGAAAGAAAAGGCGTCGGGAGCGGCTGGACCCCTCAAGAGGGAGACCTCCAAAGACCGAACAAAGAAGAAGAAGAAAAGGAGAAAGGAGGAAAAGGCCGCCCACGGGCGAGCAGCGTCGGCTCCTGCAGAATGGTTTGGGCAAGCGGCCCCGACAGACCCGCAGGAGGCCAGCTCTTCCGACAGCACGCCGGGGACCTCGACCACGGAGAAGGTGAAGAAGAAGAAGAGGAGAAAGGACCGTGATCGGGCCAGGTCGGCCCAAGATCGTGGCCCATTCGGTTCGGGCCACAAGGTCGACTATGGTGGTCTGGTGGTCGACAGCGATTCCTCAGATGACAGCCAGGGTTTTCGCGACGGCCTCCCCTCCGGGAATGGAACCAGCCTCCAGCTGCAGCTTCAGGAGTACTCCATGAAGAAGCCGGGGAGGTTGGCCGCCAGGTTGCTGCAGCGCATGCAGTCGATGGTGGCGAAGGAGGGGGGGCCGATCAACACAACCCCGGGCACGAGCAGAACCCCGCCGGTGGCCACGAACTGGTTGCTGACAATCCTGGAGCCCAAGCAACTGCCGATCAGGCTGATGAGGGAGATGAAGACCTTGGCCACAGCCCTGGATCAGGTCGCGGCCGGGAAGGCACACACCGCGGCCGACACGATCGCCCAAAGGCTAAAAGCCTTGGAGTTGAGCCAGGCGGACAACTCCTGGAATCGGGCTCAGTTCCTGGGAAAGGGACGAAGCCGTCCTGGCATCGAAGTCAAGGAGGAGGTCCCAGACTACGACCCGGACGATGTTAAGGAGGAGGAGCTGGAAGATGCTCCCCAAAAGGAAGAGTTCGTGGGTATGGTGTTGGACGGCCTGCTGGACTTTGACCTGGGAGACCTTGGGGAGAGCGACGACGAAGGCCTCCCCACGGGGAAGAGTGACACAGAGTACTGGTCCAACATGTTCGACGGGCTGTCCATGAAGGACTGGAGGCTCAAGGTTCGCAATGTGCTGAACAAGAGGCCTCGGATCGCCAGCCTCGGCAAGGTCTACATGGACGCGATCCTCTCGTTGAAGTCGGCCCTCGGCACCTTTGCCCGTGTGCACTCGAACCCGGAAAGGCTGCCCCCGGGCGACGAGCCCAACCCTTCCGAGGGCCGGCCTCCTTCGCAGAGGGATGTCTTGCCTATGCACCCGGCTTTGATCATTCCGGGTCCGGGCCGGGTCACGAAGGAGAATGTTCACTGGATCCGCGTGGTGATCACCGTGCTGAACTACCTTTACTGCGCAGCATGGGCGCAGCCGGTGTGCGTCCCCCTTCCGAGAACCTTCAGCAATGCCCAGATCGCCGTTGTCAACAGGGTGGCCGACCAGGTCACGAGGATGATAGGACGGGAGGGGACGGTGGGGCCGGCACCGGAGTCGGTGAAAAAGCTCAAGGCCAAGAAGTTCGACTACAATGGCCAGCCGATCGACCACATGCAGGACTTAGTGGCAGAGCGCGTCATCCCGGCCTGGCCAAGCGTGGGAACCGCAGCGGTTGTGAACCTGGAAGACTGCCTGCCCGCGGATCTGAAGCAGGCGATCCAAGACCCAACGGCCTACTTGTTGCCGGTGGCCGAACTCCCTGATAGACACAGGGGGTCAAGGGTGCGTGCCACAGACGAGGAATGGCACAAAATTGTCAGGGCCGGTTACGACCGAGGCATGTTCACTGCGGTTCGGGACGAGGACATCCCTGTCGACAAGCGCGGGCACCTCATCACCAACGGTGCGGGCGGCGTCCGGAAGACGAAGGAAAAGGACGGGAAAACCATTGAGCTCCAAAGGTTTATCTCGATCCTCTGCCCGACCAACGACGCCATGAGGTTGCTTCCTGGAGCCCAGGATACGTTGCCATACATTTGGCAACTCCCAGCGGTTATGGCCGAGAAGGATTCGTACCTCGTTCTGGACAGCGAGGACCTCCAGTCAGCCTTTAACCTGTTCAGGATGCCGCCGAGATGGGCGGGCTTCTTTGCTTTCGCAAAGAAGGTCAGAGGGGATGCCCTAGGCCTGTCTCGAGATGTGGAGGTCCGCCCTGGCCTCACTGTTGTTTTGATGGGGTGGACATCGGCGGTCACGCTCATCCAGGCGGCGATCCGCTTCATCTCCTATGACATTGGAAAGGTGCCGAGCCTGGGCGATGTACGGAAGGACCGTCCCATGCCCGAGGCCCGAGGCCGATGCCCTCACGGTGTTATACCTAGACAACTTTGATGAACTGAGGCACCTCAAGAAAGAGATTGCTGAAGGTGAGGCTGGCACCCCCTCAGATAACCACCTCCGTTTCGTAGCGGCATGCGAGTTGCTGGGCCTCCCGCGCAACCTGGGAAAGCAACTCAGTGGAGCACTTGACGGTACCCTCCAAGGAGGAGAGATCCTGGGGAAAGCGACACGCTTATGAGAAGTCAAGGGAGCTCCTTGACCTCGGCCTGGGGCTGCTCTCCATGGAGATGGTGGATGAGTTTTGCTTGAGGCACTGGACGGGCAAGGCGGCCTTTGCTGCTGCCTTCAAGAGGCCACTTTTCTCGATCCTGCAGGAGGTCTATTGCGTGATGGATTGGGCAAAGGAGGGAACGCAGATTACCCCCAGCGCGCCGGTCATCGATGAGGTCCTTTGCTTCAGCGTCCTCCTCCCGCTGGCAGAAACTGACCTCTCGTCGCCCGTGTCGGAGGTGATCAGTTGCACTGACGCTTCCCCGAGCGGAGGGGGGTGCTCTATAGCGACCGGCTTCAAGGATAAGTCGCTGCTACTTCCTCTGCCGGTCGAGGACCCAGGGACGTGTGGCCTGTGCCAGAAGGAGCTCGACATGCCGGAGCGGAGAAGGTACCCGTGCCCGAGGAAATGTGGGCTGAAGCTCTGCTCTCTTAAGTGCGCAAGGGGTCACAGCCAAGGATGATGCCGCCGGTGGTGGCATGTCCCGAGGTTCGGGGAACGTTTCTCGGGCCGGGCTTTCCCTCTTTCAAAAGCGGCCGGACTGAAAGGCATCGAGACGCAGGTCCCAATGGATTACAATGTTCCGGGGGACCGCTGGGACTTCATTCAAGACCGAAGCGGGGAAGGCCAGGCTGGACGAGGAAGAGGATGATGGCGACCTGATGTGGACGCACTGGGCCCCAGACCGGCACACCTTCTCCCGGTCGCGAGGCCGTGGGTTCTGGAACGACCAGCACCAATGGGACCAGGGCCTTCCAGCCCTTCACTCGTTTCGGTTCCTGAGGGCTTGTCACAGTTGAGGCGCCAGGACAATGTGGCCGTGAGACAAGCCAACGCCATGGCGAAGCGAGCAGTGAGTGGACTGCTCCAGGCTCATCGCCGCGGCCGCTTCGCCTCCTTGGAGCATCCCTACGATTCGTACCTTTGGGAGCTGCCCGAAGTGAAAGCCCTCTACGGAGGAGAATGGTTTTGGTCAACGTTTGCCCTCTGCTGCCATGGTGGAGAAAGGGAAGAATGGACCACGGTGGTGCACAACTCGCCGTCCCTCCACGCTGTTCTCCACAAGCCCCAGTGTGACCTCGAGTCACCTCGACCCGGAGAACAACGATGACTACCCCTGGCTGTTCTGCCTGGTGTTTATGGAGGGTGTCCATGATGAGCTCACTCAGCTTTACACTGTTCCCTTTGGGAACAAGGCTGAGACACTGGAATCCCTCATGTACCACCAGCTGAGAGGGGCAACCAGAGGCTTGGAGGACAGCCTGGCGGTGGACTGGGCCGTGACACAGTGTGTCAAGTTCCTCGACACGATGGACTCGGGGCAAGAAGCCCAGCACCTGGCCTGGCTTCGGAGACACACCTACCACACGGGGTGTGACGTCCGGTTGACGGACAGAGGCACCGACGTGGTCGGATGCCGGCCTGGCCCTTATCCCGCTTTCAGGTGGCTGTGGCGGGACGTGCTTTCTTACAAATGGAAGCAGCCGCAGCACATCAATGTGCTCGAGCTCACGGCCTTTTTGGCAGAGCTCAGAAGACGGTCCAGGGACCAGGCCCAGCACGGCAAACGCTTCTTCTGCGTCCTCGATTCCCTCGTGACCTTCTACGTGTTGGGAAAAGGACCCTGAAGCTCCAATAAGCTTTAAATAAGGTGACATGCTTAAGTTTCCCTATCAGGCGTAAATCTCATGCTTATATAAAGCTTTAAACTCTTTTTAAAGCTTCGAACCTTTATTTAAACATTATAAAAGGTGTTTTAATGAAAATTTAAAGCTTTCAGCTTTAAATAAACATGAAAAGTACGTCTCTTAATTAAGGCTGACAGCTTTCAATTAAAACAACAAGTTTGACAGATTTTGCTGGAGGCAGGCTCCAGAAAATTGCCGTTAACCCTATCCTAAATCCTAAAATCAATCAAAGCATGCAGTCGATCACTCGCTCGATCATTTTCAAGCAGCTAGCACAGGCAGGGTGTTTCTGGCTTTGAACTTGTCCAGGACAAGCTGGGAAGAGTTTCCCGGAGTGTTGTGGCCGCCTTTGGCCCTTACCATGGCTGCAGTAGCTCCTCCGAAATCTTCATCTCTATAGCACCAGATGTCCTTTGGACATGTAGGGCTCTGCGAAAGGTGCAGGAGGAGGTGAAGCTTCGGTTTAACTCGCCAGGCGATATTGTCACCAAAGTGATCCCTCAAAGACACATACTGCAAAGCAAACCTTCTGACCTCTCGCTCCATGAGGCTGGGGTCGTAGGGCTCGACATCCAGAGCAGCATAGCATGCCAAAAGCAAAGAGATGCAAGCCAAAACTGCCGAATCCAGATCCCCTGAGCTGTCCAAAAACTTTCGGCACACAGCATCCAAAATAGGTATCAACTTTCTGGTTTCTGCACCTTTGGCTTTGAGCTTTGGAGCTTTTCCAGCTTCCTTGCGATACATGGTCTCTGTCAATGTGGCCAGTCGATCGGATGCGACACCCTGGTTCTTGTACTCCTGCGAAATCTCTTTGTAGAGCTCTGCAGTTCGCTTGGTAATATTGGAACCAGGCATCTTGCTTTGCAGGTGGTACAGAACATTCCCAGCAGCATCTGCAGCACAACCCAAATCCATAATATGCAGCCAATCCAACCTGATGACCTTGAGACAAAAATTTGGAAACTGCCACACAGCACTCATGAACCTGTGCTCCTCCCAGCACCTCATGATAAAGGTCTCCTGATCAAAATATTGATGTCTCCAGGAGGCCTGCAAATCCACCTCGTGCACTTTATCAGGTGTCATGGGACAAAGCCAGCAGCAACCATTGTTTTCGTTGTGTGCTGGCAGGGAAAGGGTATCCTTGAACATTTTCCAGTCGCCCCTGATTTGTGTCAAACAAGCAACTGGCAAATCTGACCCAGCTAGACGAAGACGTGCCTTGTCGACCCGTAAATCGAAGGGGCTGCCATCATGCCTTCGAGAAGGATACCTTCCAAGAGCCAGCTGCTCGAAACTCCACACCAAAACCTTCATGGCTGCATCCATGGTACACTTCTTGGCTTCAAACATCTTCTTCAGACAGAACAGCGGCACTCGAAGGCCAGGAATGGATGGGAAACTTAGAGCTATAACTTCCAAGCTTTGGGACCTGTCCCAATTGCAAGGCACCCCGTCATTCCAGAGCCCCAGTGGCAGAATTGTCGCTGGATCTCTCGCTGGCTGGCACGACAAAGAAAACTTCTCAATCAGCTCAGCATCCTCTTGCAGCACATCCTGGCTCAGGATCCAGGCTGAGTCACCAAATTCAAAAAGCTTCCCCAGAATTTCATGGGGAAGCAAAAACGGCAAGGAGACCTGGCGGTTCTCCTGCAGCTTGGGGTCATGCAGCTCTATGTCGGCATAGTAGCAGTCTGGCCAGTGGGACCCCTTCAACATTTTCCTTCTTAGGCTTCTGGCTGCATTCTTGTCTTGTACAGCGGCCAAGTCGTCCACACCACTGGCACCAGAAGATTGAGCATCCTTGAAAAGGGAAGCTGTCCTGGCAGCTGTGATCTGCCCAGACAAAAAAGCATCCGAAAGATTGGCCCGAAACCTTTTCTTCTCAGGCACGTCTTCCTCATTGTAACCACGACTGTTCTTGGAGTACATGGCTTCACATGCAGCTCCAGAAGTGAAACAAACTTCAGAAACTTGAGCACCTATACCCTGCACAGCAAGCTAGCACAGTTGTCGGCTGAAGTCTGCGAGCTGCTGCTGCACTCGCCCTTTTGCATGCAAAGGGCCCTGTCTGCAGCTCGAGAAGATCGACCTTGGCTGCAAGCAGAAAACATTCAGCAAAAGCTTGAAAGACAATATGTAGTGCATGCTATTCGCGGCTGCAAAGCACTGTTTTTTTTTAAGTTCGCCTGCCGTGGATCGCCTCAAAGCTGCTTTCGCAAAACTGCAGCAAAATGCTGCTTGCATGATATCCAGATCCATGCTCGGTGGATCCTAGGCCTGCCAGCCCTTAACCTTCTTCAGCAGCAACTTCACATTGTCAAGATGCTCATTGGCATTGCGATTCCACTGCTCCATGTCGGCTTTCTCGTTCTTGCAGGCTGCCTCGTCCATCGTGGGAAGCTTGCGATCCAGCAGGACCTGGATCTTTCGAAGATCCTCCACAAACTTCTTCAGAGCATCCAGGGTAACCCGGACTTCCGGCGCTTTGCTAGCGAGCTTGGGGCAATTCTCGAGAGCAATGCATTCCGAGCTCAACTCTCCATGCTTGGCATCCAGGCTCTTGACTGCACTGTTGGCCACTTTGCTCAAGTTGCTCAGCTCGGTCCGCTCGGGGTGCTCCAACTTCACCTCACCCTTGGTGCAGGCTTTTCATCTCCTTCGCTGCTAGGCTAGCACTCATTTCGAAGGTGCCTGACTCGGTCGATCGGGTTGCATCTTTGCTTTCCACCAAGGTCCGGTAAAAGTACCGGCAGAGCTCGGGCATCTTGTGCTTCACCAGGTTCCTCTCGTGCCCCCAGAAATCCTCGGATTCCTGGAGCAAACCCTCCAGCAACTCCTTCTGCCTCTTCTCTGGGAAGTCGCTGATCTTGAGGCCATTCAGGTCAAAAATTCGCGACCTCAGCGACATTGCAAAACAAAACATTAAAAACAAAATGACCAAGCAACCTATATAAAATAAAATCTAAGAGTCGCTGTCATCATGCCCTTGATAGAGACATCCTCCTCGGCTTCCTCCTTCACAACCTTCTTGGTGTACTGGCCCACCCACTTCAAGTCCTTAAGGCCATTCTTCTGGTAGGCAGCGATGAATCCCTTTCGGTCCGAGTCGGCGATCTGCCGGTAGGCCTGGCACATGCAATACCCACAAAAAAATGTAATGCATAGCAAATGGAGAATTGCAACCCGGCCTCCAGCACTTGCTGGGCTTCGCTCTGGCACTCCCCACTCTTGTTTCTCACGGGGTCGGCTTTGTACTTCACAAGATTCAGCATCCTCTGAATGCTGGCTTTCATCTCCACCGGTGTGGGATCATCTCCAATCACCAAGGCACCGGACTTGGCCCTCTTAGTTTTCGGCTCCGTCTTCGGAGCAGCCTTGGCCTTATTCTTTGGGGCCATGATGCCAAAAGGGCAACTGTACAAAAGGCTCCAGCTATTTAAACTATTTTTGATCTGGAGCCACAAAATCGAAAGTGTGTCTTGATGCATTTGTTTATCATGCTGTGACAAAACGATGCAGCATATCACTGTTGCACCTGTGGCCCGGACACATGGTATCTGCAGCACATGCAGCAAGACACCTGAGGGTTTTGCTTTAGGGTTTCAAGCTTCAGGGATTAGAGGATTTGGGTTTCTGTAAGGGTTAACATAGATCCAAAGTATAGAGGTTCTACAAGGTAAGGGTGTTTATGTATATATGTCTAGATGTATGTGTATATATATATATGTCCATTAATATATATATATATATATATAAGATTATGATACTAATTCTTTTTAAGGTTTTAGTACATATATATATATGTATATGTATATATATATATATATATCATATATTTTATATATGAGTATATACTATATTAAATGACGATCGATATTATACTTATAGATGACGATAAGTTCATGTACATCACACTATACATGCTTGTTACACCATTACATCATTATATCACAGTAACATTCACATGTTACTGTGATATGATGATGTAATGATGCCCCCACATAAAATTAAACTGGAACCCAAAACCTGCTAGGGCCAGAAGCCTTCTGAACATACTGGGCGATCCCTGAAACCCACACCTTTGAATCCTCAGCATGTACACCACCAATTCACCTAAACCACTATACAACTGGAGCAACCCCCACCTTGCACAACCTTTATCCATGAGCCTTTGGAACACCTAGAACCTGTGCCACCGAACATATAGACCCTGGAAGATTGTCCTGAAACAACCCAGACCGTAGCCGCACAGCAGCAAGATCTTTGTATTGTAGGTTTCCTGGAGGCTGTGGCCTCCAGTTAAAAAGTTTAATAATTTGGTACACAGCTTATAGTGTTTTATATATACAGCACTACGTTTTCAACCGGTTGAAATTTCAACCGGTTGAAAAAGCCACCCCACCACTTAATCAAAAGCACAAGCCATTTTTCAACCGGTTGAAATTTCAACCCTTTTTCAACCCTTGCAACATTATAATAATTCTATAACACTGATTGTAAACATTAAAGCTTCAACCTTGAACCCAAACCCTAAACCTCAACCCTTATGCCTTAAACCCTAAACTTGGTAAAACCGAAACCAAAAACCCTAAACCCTAAAAGCTTCAACCCCTACACCCCTGAACCCGGGCCCTCAAACCCTAAACCTAACCTTTAAACACTGGAACCCTAAACCCTAAAAACAACAAACCCTAAACCCTTAACCCCTCAACCTGTAAACCCTGAAACCTTAAACCCCAAAAACCTCTAACCCTAAACCCTTAACCCCTCAACCTGTAACCCTTAAACCCTAAACCCTAAAAACCTCTAACCCTAAACCCTTACACCCTGAACCCCTAAACCCCTGAACCTTTAAATCCTTAGACCCTAAACCCTGAAAGCCTTAAACCCTAAACCCTTGAACCCCCAAACCCCTCAACCCTTAAACCCTAGAC